AGAATGGTTTCCAGTTGCCTTTCTGCTTTCTGGCCTTAAGAGAGCAATAAAGCTGATGGCCCGAGATAACCCCTCAACACGGGCTCTGAAGGTAGTGATTCAGCCACAGAACAACATGTTTTGAGGGAGCAGGACACAGGCAAGGGCCCTGCCTTTCCCTGCTGCCCAGACGCCTAATTGTATTCCTTACATGGCTGTGCCCCGTTCCCTCCCTCCTTTCTTTTCTTCTTTATGCTGTCAATTTATGAGCCATGGTTTAAAGTCTTTTCCAGAGAGGAAAGAAGCTTGATATGAAAATGTTTGGCAAATCTAAAGAAAATAACCCTGGAGGCTCAGCTGCTATAGCATAGTGGTTAGGGTGCCAGCCTCATACACCGAGAGTGGCCAGTTCGAACCCAGCCTGGGCCAGCTAAAAGTAAAAAAAAAAGTAAAGGGCAGCACCTGTGGCTCAAAGGAGTAGGTCACTGACCCCAAATACCAGAGGTGGCGGGTTCAAACCTAACCCTGGCCAAAAACTGCAGGAAAAAAAAAAAAGTAAACTGGGTGGCACCTGTAGCTTAGTGGGTAGGGTACCATCCCCATATACTGAGTGAAGGTGGCAGGTTTGAACCTGGCCCTGGCCAAACTGCAATAAAAAATAGCCGGGCATTGTGGTGGGTGCCTGTAGTCCCAGCTACTCAGGAGGCTGAGGCAAGAGAATCGCCCTAGCCCAAGAGCTGGAGGTTGCTGTGAGCTGTGATGCCATAGCATTCTGCTGGGAGTGACAAAATGAGACTCTATGTCTAAAAAAAAAAAAAAAGAAAGAAAGAAAAAAAAAAGTCCCTGGAGAGACAGGCCTACACTCCACACTGGAGCGGGTTCCTCATTTTAACTGTAATTCCTTAATCAGTTTGATCCTTTGTGAAGACTGTGAGGATTTTAAGAAGTCAGGGGATTGGTAATGGAAACATTTTTCTTTAACTCTCTCGTGGTTGGCCAGAGCCCATTTCTTTTTTGTTTTATTTGACTCATTCATCTCCATAAGGAAACTGTCATTGGACTGGCATTCAGCAGCCTGGATTTGCTAAGGCCGGGACAGAGCTGATCTACCTTTGTCTGCCCAGTGCTCGATACACCTCTTCTCTTTTAATCTTGATGGTTTTGTGAAGACGGCATTTATAATTCTATCTTCCTGGGTGAAGATGCTAAGAATCATCGTGTTCAAAAAGCAAGCCGAGTCCCCCCCAAGTCAGCCATGGAACTGGACCACTTGGTCCACTTGGTCCACAAGTCCTTTCCCAAGAGACCCCATCCATTCCTGCTGTTTGGGCATGTGGGTTTCGGAGCCAGTTTAAACCGGGTTTGAATCTTGGCCCCATGATAAACTCTGTGATTTGGGCAAGTCACTTAACATCCCTGAGACGAAGGCGGTTTCCCCATCTGTAAAATATCTGTTTTCTCAGGTTACTAAAATGGAAATACTATGAATTGGGTGGCTTAGAAATAAAATTTATTGCTCACAGCTCACAGCTCTGGAGGGTGCGAGTCCAAGATGAAGGTGCTGGCAGGTTCCGTGTCTGGGGAGGCTCCGGGCCACAGGTGGCTTTTCCTTGTGTCCTCACTGGGCAGTAGGGAAGGAGCTCCCTCGCCTTCTTTTGGGTGGGTGCTAATCTGCTCACGAAGGTCCTGCCCTCATGGACTAATCATCTTCCAGATGTTCCACCTCTTAACATTACCACATTGGGGATTAGGTTTCAACATACAAATTCTTGGGGGCCACAAAGATTCAGACCATGGCAGGAGGTAATTTTTTCCTCATTGGGTTACACTGAGGAGTTAATGAGGAGCCTGCAGAGAGCTAGAAGGGGGCCTGAGTGAGCCTGTCCCTTCCTGGCAGGGAGCAGGGAGCAGGGAGCACAGCCGCTGCTCAGCCTGACCCAGTGTGGGGAGCAGCCTGCTTTCCCTGCACCGTTCTCGTTGTGTCTGGGATGACCCTGCAGGCCTGTCACTGCTCCCAGGCGTCGGGCTGGCCACATTCCCTACCTGTAGGTTGCTCTTCCTGTCGACAGTGAGTTGGACATCAGTGATTTCTTTACTGTATATTTTAAATTCTGAAAGAAGATGGGATTCGAAGGGAAGAATCTGGCTGGTAGATAGATACAAAGTGAAAGGTTTAGTCCAGGAAAAACAACAGCAGGCGTGAAGAGGGCAGGATGCTCAGAAAAGATTGTGTGGGAAGCAGGCAGGGTCCAGGTGAGACGAGTTCTCTAGGTACGTTCACGTGGGATTCATCTGATTGGATTCAGAAGGTGCTGGGAGAATAAAGAGGCCTGACTGAGCAAATGAAGTAACCCGGAGAATACTGCCTCTGAGCAAGGAACACGCGTCCTTAAAGAAGGTGGGATGTTTGTCAGGTGCTGTGTCCAGAGGGTTGTCAGATTTGGTGCCAGAGGTTAAGAGAGGAGTTTAGATCTTGGAATTTTGACTGAGAAGGCCTTCCGTCCTCTCTTCCTTCCTCTCTCTCTCTCTCTCTCTCTCTC